AAAAAAAAAAAAAAAAAAAGAATCAAGGAAGTCTATAAAAGACTTTTCCAATTCTTAACAGAAATATTAATTCTAGATAAAAATTGATAAACAACACAGAATTCATCTAGGAAATCTGTTAGCCAGCCTGTAACTGGCCATAAGGTTGGCTGAGCCTGCTGGGTTCCAGACAAGTGTAAAACAAAGCATAAAGGAGTTTTAAAAAGATGAGAGAGCTCTTACGCTGCCTAAAACTTAACAGTGGTACTTCTCATGATTCTAATTCTACTTCTACCTAATGAATGCTGTTAAGGATCAAGAATATAGGGACTGCTGGGGCGCCTGGGTGGCTTAGTCGGTTAAGCGTCCGACTTTCGCTTGGGTCATGATCTCGCGGTTCGTGGGTTCGAGCCCCGCGTCGGGCTCTGTGCTGACTGCCAGCTCAGAGCCTGGAGCCTGTTTCAGTCTGTGACTCCCTCTCTCTCTGACCCTCCCCTGCTCATGCTGTCTCTATCTCTCTCCTAGAAATAAATAAAACATTAAAAAAAAAAAAATTTTTTTAAAGAATATAGGGACTGCTTCCTAAAGCTAGAAATAAATCAGTAATAGGAAACACAGAAGACATCCCTAACCATTAGCTCACGAAGATGTCTCAGGGGAGCACTACTTACTTGGTTAATTCTCCTGAGGAAACATGTTTTTCTCCTTAAGTGTCAAAAAATAATAAATATTTTGCTTGCTTTATAATATTACGCAGTTATTTTTTAAAAGTGTATCTCCATGTTAACCCTCAAAGCCTTAAAATCAAAAAAAAAAAAAAAAAAAAAAAAAAACCAGAGGCCAAAAATGAGGAAATAGCTCTTTCCAAGGAGAAAAAACACAACGTAAGCAATTTTCAGTTCAAATAACCACGGCAATATGTAGCGTGCATACGGTAGAGATTTGGTTAGTTCTAAGGAAATACGCTACTTCATGTTCTGATTTATGCTGTCATAAGTTAGCTATTTGTCATAAAAATTAGTTCACAGCTTAAGAAAAGATATTTAAAATGTGAATTAGGTTAACCTTTCCTTCTGTGAAGTGAGACTACAAGTAATAACCATACTCCGTGTTTCCTATTCAAGTTCCACACACAAACACACCTTCAGGGCTTTTATGGGCTCTATACCCCCCATTCACCCTACCATGCCCTCTGCTTTTACCTCACCTGTCTGGACTCTTCCCATCCCTCACCACCTATCATAACTGGTACATGTACCCTGATCCCTTGAGCCAGAGCAACCTCTCTATTTCTGAAATCCCATAGCTCTTTTCTGTGGTGTCTTAGAGCATTTAACACTTTCTATCTTGTACTACACTTCTTTAAGTCCAGTTAACTCTCTTCTACTATGAGTATCCTTGAAAGGAAGGTACATGCTTTATTCATCCTCGTATGCCTCATAGCACTTAGTGCCAGAAACTACACATGTACTGGGTATGCTGCCCAGAATGCGGAGGAAAACACTCAACCAATTTTTCTTTCAACACTGTGTGCCATACTCTGCCTCAGGTGATGTAAGAGGAAACAAATACCAATGGTGGAGACCTACTGTCAATCTACTAAGTGACACTGACATGTAAACAAGTTAATACAGTATAATTGCGGTACATGTTATCATAAGGGATGAACAGGGTGCTGTGAAGGGAACACTATGTACGTTAAAAATTGTTCTAATTCCATAAACTACATTAGAAACTAGATTTTGAAGAGCCCAATTACCAGAAAGGTTTCAAGAGTGGTAATCATAAGGGTCCCTTAATTTTAGTCTTAAAAATATTCTCAACCTGAAGCTAACACTCCACCAATATAACAACCTTAATTGCATAACTGGAAGTAACAAATTGCCCTCTATTTTCAGTACAACCCTCTGAGATAAGCAGGCTTGGTCTTATCTTTAAACAAATTTGCTCCTCCCATCTTCTCGCATCTGGCTGAACTGTGCGCCATTTCCATATACCATGTACCACTGAGGCCCCAAACTCTTTATCTAAATATACCTAACCTTCCCAGTTCTCAAATCCTATTTCCTGTGCTCTCTAACACACAGGATTACGCGACCTTCCAAATGTATGTTTAGTATTACCACCCTCTGTATCTCTCTTTTTAACAATTATTGATAATAATAAAGTTAATTCTTAACTTCTTATATAACTCGGACTTAAGCAGAACTGGTCTGAAATCCCAAATGTGCACCTGCCTTATGATGTAAAATTGGTCAAGTTATGACATTTCCTTGAACCTCAGTTTCCTCATCATTAAAATTAGGATTCAACGGGGTAATATGTACAAAATGCCTTATATACACACATAGCCATACACATATACATTAGATACATTCAGACTTATTTTTGTTTTTCTTCTTTTCCAAGAAAGGAGAGGCAAACTCTCTTGGGTTTTACCCAAGGCAAAAGCAATGATGAACAAGGTGGGTACTAAAAATTGGTTAGCTCATGTAAACGAGCCTCACAACTTTTAAATATGCCCTCGAAACAACTCACACAAAACACACGCGCGCGCGCGCGCACACACACACACACACACACACATACAAACACACACCGGTAAAAATTTCCCATCTGTCACCCACCGTAAACTATGAAAAACTCAGACGCAAAATGACACAGCCAGTACAGAGGGACCTAGGCTGGTGACCCTGACACCGATATCTTTCTCAAGAATCCGTCTGCCTCCGTACAAACCTGACACTGCAAGAAATATCTTTTATTATGTAAATTAATTTTTCTATCGACACTAGCCCTGGGAAGCAAGCAAAACCACTTCTGCAGATTTCAGCCTCAGAAGAGAAAGTCCTAATGGGATAGGGTCTGAGTCATCCATTTAAAACCATCAACGCCTGCCGCACCCTGGAATGAGAGCACTACTGCGACCTTCTGCAACACAGTCTCGAGCATCCAACACTCAGCACCCACCCCAGCCTCCCCGAAGTCCCCACCTCCGACGCAGGTCCAGGCACTAGGGGCACCCAGTCCCACCCAAGGATCTGACCCAGGGTCAGGTACCCCCACACCCTAGGGTCGACACCCTAGTCCCTCACGCCCCAATTCAGGCTTCTGCCCGCGCCGACACCGGCACTCACCCGGGCGGTGACCTTATACACCGTGTAGCCCCTTGGATGTCGCTGGGGCTCGGTGACAGTGTAGAAACGGGCCAGGTCTGCACCCCGCTCCCGGGGAGAGGTCATCCTCCCGCCGCCTCTGCCGCCGCCGCCGGCCGGGGACCATCAGGGCAACCCGGCGCCGGCTCGGTCCGGGCTCCCCAAACAGCGGCGAAGCGGCGAGGGGGCGGTGGCTCCACGGCTGCCCTCCGCCTCTCGGCGGTGCTTCCGGCCCGGCAGAGGAGCTTCCGGGTCAGGCCGCTTCCAGCGTCCTGGGGGAGGGGAGACTCGGCGCCGGAGGCTGACACCTGTCCCGGCCGGGAATCAGGTGGTTGCACTGCCGCTCCTGTCACCGTGGAGACCTGAGACTTCTCCAGCGAAGTGTCTTTGCGCTAGCTCTTGACACCTTCTGGATTTTCTGAGCGCTGTTAGAGCCACGACACACAGGTGCGATCTTGGTCCTCCACTCCCTCGCCCAACCTGTGTACAAATTTTTTTTTTTTTTTTTTTATTTCTAGGAGGGAGAAACAGCGTGAGCAGGGGAGGGTCAGAGAGAGAGGAAGGCACAGAATCTGAAACAGGCTCCAGGCTCTGAGCTGGCAGTCAGCACAGAGCCCGACGCGGGGCTCGAACCCACGAACCGCGAGATCATGACCTAAGCGAAAGTCGGAAAGTCGGACGCTTAACCGACTAAGCCACCCAGGCGCCCCACCTGTGTACAAATTTATGCGGAGTCGTAAAGGGACGGAGGGATGGCCCAGCCTTGCGTCCTCTTTGCTTCCCTACTCACGGCCTATCATTTCTTATATCCACCGCAGCATCTGAACTCTCTGGAGACAGAACTGTACCTTCTAAGACAGATCCCGTCCACCTGTGCACCTTTCAATCTCCACAGCAGCCCGCAACCCCTAAGTCAATCTTAAAATTCATCCCCTTAAAATTCCATTCTAAAAGCTGGGACCTGCGTCTAAATGGGAAAAAAAAAAAATTACATGACCTCTAAAAGCTACTATGAAGATAGAGGTTTCCATTCAATTGGTTGCTATCCAGTGCTTGGCAATTCCTTTACCTTGCCTTGATCAGGATTTTCTCATTCCCCATAACATTCATTCCAAGTCTTTGCCATTCTCCTCAACCCTCTGTCTTACCCACCTACCGTTTGTCCCTGCCATTGTTTCAGAAGAGTCCTTAGTTCCAACCTTTTCATCTTCTCACATTTCTGTTCTGAATGGAGATATGAACACATCACTTCCTCATTTTATTTACTTATTTTATGTTTATTTATTTTTGAGAGAGACAGAGTGTGAGCAGGGGAGGGGCAGAGAGAGAGAGGGAGACACAGAATCCGAAGCAGGCCCCAAGCTCTGAGATGTCAGCACAGAGCCTGATGGGGGGCTCCAACTCACTAACAGTGAGATCATGACCTGAGCTGAAATCGCAGGCTTAACTGACTGAGCCACCCAGCACCCCTCCCTACCTTATTTTTAAAGACTAATCACTCTACCTGTGTGCTGAAACCCATCCCCTTTGGCAGACCTAAGGACATTGTTCCATCAGTGACTCTCAACTCTGCTTTCTATACCTTTAATCTGTTCCTCACCACTGGCTCCTCTGTTTCCCAACCTACATATGCCTAAATCTATCATTCATTTATTAAACCTGAATCCCCCTACTTTGTGCCAGACATCATGCTGATTAGGCACTGGAGTCACAAAGAGAGTACCTGCTGTCAAGTACTATCTAGTAGGAAAAAAAACAGAATAATTAAAACATATTGTTGTAAGTACCATGACAGATAGATATGTGGAGTGCTGTAGAGCATATCAAACTCAGAGTAGAGGGTTTTTTGATAGAGGGGAAACTATGACTGAATCTTGAGAGAGAAGAATTAGCCAGGCTGAGATGAGAAAAAAGGACATCATCTCAGTTGCCTCTTTTCCTCCTTCTTTCTCCTTCCCTTCATTGTAAAAACTGCCTAACTTGTTTTTTAAGTAACCTGCATCAGTATTTACACATCACACATTTATACATTCAGGAATATCACACATTCATTACCGTATTCACTTCAATCGGTCTTCATTACTATAAACCTAACTGCTTTGAAAAAAAATTCTTATGACCACATCTTGCCCAATATTTTCAGAGTTTGAACATTTCTGACCATTTCCACTTTTTCAAAACTCCTCTATGTCCTTAGCATATGAGTCAGCATTCTCTTGGCTTTTTCTTTTATACTCTGAATCATTCACTCATTTCCAGCCTCTTTTGCTGATTTCTCCTTCTTTTAACAAGGTTCAGGGGTACCTGGGTGGCTCAGTCAGTTAAGCGTCTGACTTCGGCTCAGGTCATGATCTCACGGTTCGTGAGTTCAAGCCCCACATCTGCCTCTGTGCTGACAGCTCAGAGCCTGGAGCCTCCTTCAGATTCTGTATCTCTTCCTCTCTGTCCCGCTCATGCTCTGTCTCACTCTGTCACTCAATAATAAATAAAAATGTTTAAAAAATTTTTTTAAATAAAAAAAGAAGGTTCAGTGTCAGAGCACCTCGGTGACTCAGTCATTTAAGCATCCAACTCTTGCTTTCGGCTCAGGTCATGATCCCAGGGTCGTGAGATGGAGCTCCGCCTCCAGCTTGAAACTGAGTGTGGAGCCCACTCGGGATTTACAAATAGGAACTTAACATGGATCATTGTCATAAATATAAAAGCTAAAACTATAAAAGTTCTAGAAGGAAACAGGAAAAAAATCTTTGTAACTTTGGATTAGGCAAATGATTCTTAGGAAACAAAAAGTCTGAAACAAGAGAAAAAAACTGATAAATTGGACTTCATCAAAATTAAAAATTTCTTCACTGTGAATGACATCATTCAGGAGCAAGTCACAGGTTGGGAAAAATATTTACAAAACATGTATCTGATAAAGGATTTGTATCCAGAATATATACAGAGCTTCTACAATTCAATAGTAAAAAAGAACTAATTCAATTGTTTTAAAATGCAAAAGATCTAAATGTCCATTTCACCAAAAATGATATAATGAGGGCACAAAAGTACATGTACTACGTCATTCATCTTTAAGGAAGTTGCTTTTAAAAGCACAATAAGGGGGGTGCCTGGGTGGCTCAATCGATTAAGCATTCAACTCTTGACTTCAGCCTGGGTCATGATCTCACAGTTTGTGAGTTCAAGCCCCACATCAGGCTCTGTGCTGGCAGCACAGAATCTGCTTGGGATTCTGTGTCTCTCTCTTCCCCTCCCCTGCTTGCTCGCTCTGTTTCTGTCTCTCTCTCAAAATAAATATAAATAAATGAATAAATAAATGCGCAATGAGGGAAAATGGTGGAGTAAGGAACTTCAAAAGTCCACTATGACATATAAGCAATGAACAAAGCTGGCAAAATGGGACGCCTGGGTGGCTTAGTTGGTTAAGCGTCCGACTTTCGCTTAGGTCATGATCTCGCGGTTCGTGGGTTCGAGCCCCGCGTCGGGCTCTGTGNGCCTGGGTGGCTTAGTTGGTTAAGCGTCCGACTTTCGCTTAGGTCATGATCTCGCGGTTCGTGGGTTCGAGCCCAGCTTCGGGCTCTGTGCTGACTGCCAGCTCAGAGCCTGGAGCCTATTTCAGAGTCTGTATCTCCCTCTCTCCCTGACCCTCCCCTGCTCACGCTGTCTCTCTCTCTCTCTCTCCTAGAAATAAATAAAAATATTGAAAAAAAAAAGAAAGAAAAGAAAAAAGCTGGCAAAAACTGTCAGTATCAACTCTTTCGGAGCTCTGAAAACTAAAACCTTACAGCAACCAGGCGCACTTATTCAAGAAAAACAGCTAAATCTCTAGGAACAGCAAGCTTTCTAACATTTTTTATAGTTTATTTATTTAAGTAATTCCTACACCCCACATGGGGCTTGAACTCACAACCCCAAGATCAAAAGTCACATGCTCTTCTGACCAAGTGAGCCAGGTGCTCCAAGCTTTCTAACATTTTAATATTCCCTAGTCTCATCCCCTACTTTTCAACTTAGGGTCTCCTGGAAAATGATGGCCTACTTTCCTGGTACCAGTACCAGAGGGAGCAAAAGAGACCTGAATGGTAATTTTTTTTTTTTCCTGTCAAGTGACTCCCTGGAGAATGGACTCAAAAGGCTTGTCTTTATCTCAGCTAACTTGTCCCAGTGCTAAAGCCACTATCCAAGGGACATTTGTGAAAAACATTTATAGGCTAGTGTTTTAGTCATTGCTACCTGAGGCAATTGATAGCAGGTAAGCAAATAATAGACTGCCCAAGAAGCTTGAGAGGAAAGACTGGAGAATAAGGTTTGGGGAATAGAGCCTTGAAAAGCTCCAGGGAATCTAGAAAATCACGCACATAACCAGGACCGTGTGCATGCTCAGGAAAGACCCAAGAAAGCCCTAAGTTTTCATATCTGGTTGACTTTGCAAAAGCTAAAAAAGAAGGTTAAGACAGTTGTAAATTACCTGAGTATTGAAGGTATATCCTAACTTACAAACATACAACATGCTGCAAAGACTGGGAGATTTTTAAATTTTTTTTAACATTTTAATTTTTTTATTTCCAAGCATTTAAGAAAATCTCTGTTTAGGGGCGCCTGGGTGGCTTAGTCGGTTGGGTGTCCGACTTTCACTTAGGTCATGATCTCGCGGTTCGTGGGTTCGAGCCCCGCGTCGGGCTCTGTGCTGACTGCCGGCTCAGAGCCTGGAGCCTGTTTCAGTCTGTGACTCCCTCTCTCTCTGACCCTCCCCTGCTCATGCTGTCTCTCTCTCTCTCCTAGAAATAAATAAAACATTTAAAAAAAAAAAAAGAAAATCTCTTTAATCATTAGCCAATTAGTAAGCTAATAGAGACTTAAGTAGGCATGTACAAATAATAGACTTTATAAAAATTAGTTCAGAAAAGTTACTAAACAAATAACAACTACAAACAATAACAATGAACTCTGGGGAGGGAAGAGAATCTGATTTCCAGAGTTAAAACATTATAATATTCAAAATGTCCAATTTTCAACAAAAAAGTTTAAGGCATCCTAAAAAACAGGAAAGCATGGCCCACACACAGGATGGGAAAAAAAGCAGTCAATAAAAATAAAAACCATGTCTATGAGGAAGCCCAAATGCCCTTTACTAGACAAAGATTTAAATCAGCTGTTTTAAATATGTTCAAATTACTAGAGAAAACTATGTCCAGACTGACTAAAGCCAAACCCGCAACTGACTCAAGAAGAAATAAAAAAAA